CTTGCAGCCTGTTCAGGTCTTTAAAAGCTGCGATCCAGTCGAAACGTCAGGGCGTTTCAATAAACGTTTCAGTAAAGTCTTAAAGCATAAACAACTAAAGCGCTGCCTTTATACCTTGCGCCGGGAGAATAGGAGGATCGACTTGACGACGTTTTGGGAGAGTGCGTTCGAGAGGAAGTGGAGGTATCGATCTGGCGTTTTGGGACAAAGGGAGAGTGGACTTTTCAGCAGAATGTCTGTCAGTGGTGGGAATAGATTTCGATCGGTATCGTTGACTCGCCTATTCTCCTTTTTTTCCCCAAATCGCCAGCGGCCGGCATCGATCGATACCCATGCAATCTTTTGACGCTCCTTTTCCCGAAGCGTCGAATGAGCTGTATTTTTACTTTTCCTCGGCGTTTTGAGCGTTCTGGGCGTTAAGAAAAGCTCAGGTACTAGTCGATAACTATACTCCTTCCGCCTAAAAAGCTCAGAACCTTAACGAAAAAATGAACATAGCCTTAGCAGTGCAACAGACCACCATCTGTACTTCCTTTAGGTCCTCATTCTCCTATGCTCCGACTCTCCCGCCCTTCTGTCGCAATGTGTACACGGAGTTGTTGATAGTAGCAGTTCTGAAAAACTTCCAAAATTCTCACGTTTTCTACTTCTGCTGTGCTTGCTGAACTTGTCCGGGCTTTTAGTTGTCGCTCCAAATTTCTCTGAAGCTGGTTGCACCAGCGTAATAAGATCACGAACCATTTATTGAATGTTCGCTATAACAACTTTTCTTAGACCTCTTTTTCACATAACTGTTCGCTTCTGGTTCCTTGTAACTCAACTCTTTTTCTCTTGACGGCTACCGTCAGCTAGGTGCGGATATTTGATCACATCGTTACAGATGAAGAGGATCTTCGGTACCGCGAAGAAGGAGCCGCCTCCAGACTTGAATGCTGCGGTAGCCAACATCGAATCCAGGAGGTGAAAGTATCGAGAAGAAAATTGCAAAGCTAGATGGAGAATTGGTGAAACTACGAGATCAAATGGTGAAGATGCGCGAAGGTCCCAGTAAGAATATGATAAAGCAGAAGGCACTGAGGTGGGTTGTTGACAATTCGTTGTCCTCGTAGTTCAATTAGTAAATGAGTTGATTGTCAGAATTCTGAAGCAGAAACGTATGTACGAGAACCAAAAATCTCAGCTCGATCAACAGGCTTTCAATGTCGACCAAAGCAATTTCGCTATCCAGGGGATGAAAGATACTCAGGTGGGTATTCTGTTCCGGGATATATCTGGCACATGGTATAATCGTATTTTGGCGCAATTCGGCTTGTTGGGGGCGCAGTGATAGGGCAGGCCATCCTGTGAAGTGCTGTGAATTCTTGGCTCACTTTTAGCATTTCGCAGCTTCACAAGAATTAACAAGTTTCGACGAATGAGACCCATTACTTAACACGAAATATCAAAAGAAACTAGCGAATGTCCAGGATGCCCCTCCGAAAGCCGAAAAGCGCCAATATTTGCTTCAACAGTGTTCTTCTAGGTAACAGTCGCTGCGATGAAAACAGGGTTGAAGACAATGCAGAGAGAATACAAGAAGTTGAATATTGATAAAGTGAGCTTCGTCTGTAAGTAAATTATTAGGATGGTTCCTGTATTTTTCTATTCAGATTGAAGACTTGCAAGACCAAATGGAGGATATGTTGGATATGAACACTGAGATTCAAGAAGCAATGAGTCGGCAGTATGATACGCCTGATGTGAGTGATCCTAGCCTTGAAGTTATTTATTTATTCATTTATCATGCACGTACAGATGCGCTACGATAACTCTATCTGCTTCTTTCATTAGAACAGTGGGGGCATGCCTTTCAGAAGTTGTTTCTAAATTTAGTCTCGGCTCCTTACTAAGCCATACATAGCGCTTCATGGTGCAGAGGCTATGCTAGTAGGGCGAGGGTGCGCCATAGTGATGAAAGAAATGGTTAACACGAGTCCTACTTCATCGGTTCCCAGTGTGGCTCCCTCGGCCTGAAAGTCCAACTTCACCTGCCTCTTTTCCTCTCCCACTCTGCTTTCCTTGGGAGGAATATCGCCGACCGAGGGGTCGTATTTTCGTTTGAGAATAAAGTTTTCGTTGCTACATGTCCCATCTAGAAGGAAGAGGTGCCTCCGTCCGTAGGAGCACACGGTCTGCGATGAGATCCGGGCATGATCGAAACCAGGGTCATTTTCTAGAATTGGGTAGTCCCACTTATTAGGAAATCGTGATGTGTGGAGTGGCCGGTGGCGAAACCACACCTCCCCCAAATTCTTCTCCGGCACGACATCAAAACCCAAAAAACTGCGTCGCGTGGGGAGGGGGGGGGGAGAGGTGTGGTTCGGACTGCCAGTTCTCAGAAGTCAGGAAAGGACCCTCCACCCCAGCGTTCGACAAGTTGTCTTAATAGATAGGCAGAGTTTTTCTTAATTTCGAAATCATGATCAACGATGGATATAAGCGGAAAGACGTCGTCAGCCTTTGGCAGAGGTGCCAATGACGCAGGCGGCGTCGCCCCGCCGTAAAATCCACCGCTGTATGTTAACTGGAAGCTTCCTTTGCAGATCGACGAAGCTGATCTCGAGGCTGAGTTGGCCATGTTGGGAGATGAATTGGATCTTGGCGAAACAGACACCAACTATCTTGATGAAGCCCTTAATGCACCTGGAGTTCCAGCTTCAAAACCAACCAGCTCCAAGGTGAGATTTCGCCTGCATCTCATGATTTCTAGCTTTTTTTCGTATCACTGTGCTCGGCTTTCAGGTAGCAGAAGGCTTGGAGGTTGACGAGTTCGGTCTACCGAAGATCCCTGCTTGATTTGTGGAAGATTTCTATATGTACAGTTTCCTTTTCTGGTCCCGTATTCAATAAATTTGAATGTGCAAGACATGAAGCGATCGGTCTGGGTTGTAATAAGAGTTGTGCCGTATTTTTGAATTTCCACACAGTTGTACTGTTCCGACAGTTCCTCTTCTAACCTCTAGAGACCAATAGAGTCTGCTGGTATTTTTGCTTTGTAAGCCATGGGAGAAAGGTTAACTCGGTAAGATTCTTGTAGATGGGCGCTCTAGGTTCGAAACCTGGTGAGGTAGTATAATTTTATTTTGTTTCAAGGAAGAAAACTGGAAATCTGCTGAGTTGAGGGGGCCAACAGGGCTGCGTTCAAGGGATCCTTCCCTCCCAGGCTCACCCGTAAAGAGCGCAGACTAGCGGGCTGCGTAGTAATGGCTAGTAACGGCGAGCGTTGTATAAACATTGCTCTATCGACGCTTTTGAGACTGCGTTCATACTTCGCGACTCGAGCTATTTGACGCGCGACTTCGACTGACCACGCTTGACCGCTAATCGCTGGACCACTGCGACAGTCGGAAGAAGATGTATTCTCAGTGCGATTGACATGTTGCAGCAGACCAACCATCAGCGGTGGAGCGGCCCAATTGAGTCGCGCGTGACTCGATGATTTCAGCTGCAAAGTATGAATGCTGCCTGTTCTGAGAGTTAGCGCGTGCATGTTCCTTGGAATCTGTTCCGTCCAAATTTCCCACAACTCACCTTTTGTTACTGTACCAAGCATGACATTTGGAATGAATGATTTGATAGCTTTTATTGTCCACAGAAAACAATTAAAGTTCTGTAAGTTGAGTATGGTGACAGCAGTGGCGGTGTTCCATTGAGGACGAGAACTTTCATAATTTGGCATAGTATCGTTCGTGCACAACAATATCCGGGCATTCTTGAATTTCCTGTATCGATCGGCAACCTGGAAATGGGCGTTCAAACATAGGCAAGAGTCAGGAGATCAAAGTTGCTTCGAGGCGGATGCAAGAGTCAGGAGACCCAAGCTGTCACAGGCGAAAAAAAAGTTGTTTTGAGAATTCAAAGTTCAGACTTCGCGATGATGCGCATCGACGCGCAGTAACGCGCGTCAGTGCTATAGGTGGGTATCGACTGACACTGGCCGCTAGTGCTTTGATGAACTATAGAAGTGTAGGATGGTACGCGATCAGACAACGTCTCCCTCCTATTCTTTGATACTCTGTCAAAGCCGTAACAGTCAGCGCCAATCGATACCAAACTACAGGGGGGGGGGGCAAAAAAAGTCACTTCGACCGAGTCACATATCAGCAAAGTTTTCGCAGCCCAGACAGAGGACGTGGATACGAGTACCAGGGCGGAAGATACCCAAGATGTTCCTCGATAAGCAGGAGCTGGCTCTCGCCTTCATGTACACCAAAATATGAAGTCATCTCCAGTCGCAGCCTGACTGGAGAAGACCTTTGGAATTCATGTCACCTCCAAACAGCTGCGAAACTTCTAGTGTGGAGTCACCCATGGATAGCTACCTGGAGACCAG